GAAATTATCATGAGTCTACACTGATATAAATACTTAAAACGAAGAAGGGACAACTCTTCTTTGCAGAATTCCAACTAATAAACGTTGGAAGATTGAGAGACATTAAAAGTCACAATTAGAATGCCACCAAAATCATTGCCACAGGCAAGATCTGATGAACCCTGATGAATGCTAAAATTAGTTGGTGAAAGTTTAAGCAGAAACAGAATGTTTGCATAGAATGAAGTAAAAGAAGGAAAAATACGAGCCCTTTATTTAGGGTCTTTGAGTGCCCCCTGGTGGTCAATAGAGTGAAATTCAATGAAGTTCTGCCAAGCTGGGTTCCTTCTATATTCCATAAAGCAATTGCCCTTCTCTTTTCTTTCCAATTATATACCTGTTACAAGAAGATGGTTTTCCTATTAAAAACCAGGATATGCTGCTCCTACTAATTCATACTTTCTTCCTCTAAAAGTATATCAAAAGTCTCACTAATTACCAAATCTATCTTCCCTCTAACCAGAAGAGTAAATCATAAAACCATAGCCACTTCCTGGTTGATCCTCAAGACTTGTCAGGTACAGGTAAACTTTCCAAAGTTCCTCCCACTGACCATCCCTGGGACACCTAGGGACATCACAATAAGGGCAAGCCAGTCAAAGACTGTGAGAAAGAAGGACAGATCCAGCAGTGGGAGAGAGGGCCTCCTGAGGACGTCAGACATGGAGAGTGTTTAGAGCGCAGTACTACTGAAGGACACCATGTCTACTGACATCTTGACAATCTAAGCAATCTAAGGCCCAAACAGATAAAAGATAAATATTTCCATTATCGATGTCTCATATACAAAGCCTCTAAAATTAGTAATTCATTTGGTTCAAGTAAATCAAAAACAGCTCTTCGTCAGGAAAAGACTGGGAGCTCTTGTGGCATACGATAGTAGAGACAAGGGATATAAACTGGCAGTGCCCTGGCTGCATATGGTCCAAACAGATTTCATTTAGCCCATACAATATTTTCAGTGTCTTGAATTAGATGTCAATGTTCTAAAATCTGGAGATATCACATTTTAAAAATCAAAGTTTCTGGTTTCTCTTGGAAAAAACAAATCTATGGATCTGGCCATATAGGGTTTGTTTCTACATGGTAACAAAGGAGCAGAAACTGAAAAGAGGCTGCCCCTTGAGATGGTCCTTGCTTTTCAGTTCCTTCCCCACCACTCAAACAAGGCATATGGCTAATATCCACTCTGCTTGATCCACATGTATTAAACATTGAGCCCCTGAAGCAAAAGGGTTTGCAACATCTACAGAGTAGAGTACTATTAGTTAATACACTTTTAAACGCTAGAAGGACCTTGCCCGCCATCTGTATAAGCTTCATTAGTAACGTTCATCCCTTCTTTCTAAAAATCACGATAGCTAATTATATCTGTTCTGCAAAAACATAACATAAACATTTGCTGCTCTGAATTTTGTTCTTTTACTATTAATATTCTACAGCAATAAATCAGAGTCACCCAAAAAGTTTGTTAAAACATGAACTGCTGGGCCCCACCAGCCAGGGTTTCTGTTTCAGTCGTCTGAGCTGGGACTTGAGAATCTGCAATTCTATCAGGTCTCCTGGTAATGCTGATGCCATGGATCCACAGATCACACTTTGAGAACAGCTGCTATTCTCCAACCCAGTGTTTTTTATTTTAAACATTTCCATTATAATTTTACCCATATGTCTCAAGTATCTCTAGAAAAGCAATGTCCTACACAACTTTTTGTGATGATGGATAAATTCTATATAAAACGCTGTCTACATATAGTTATTCGGCATGTGTGATTAAATAACTAGATTTTGAATTTTATTTAATCTTAATTAATTTAAATTTGAATCACTACATGTGACTAGCTGCTACCACATTGGACAACATTGTTCAAAGACTCAAAGAGCCAAACAGAAGAGGGCTGGCAAGAGAAGAAAATTTTTACATGAGCATAAATAGCAAAACTCGGCCATGCACATGTCTGTAATCCCAGCACTTTGGGAGGCCGAGGTGGGAGGATTGCTTGAGCTCAGGAGTTCAAGACCATCCTGGGCAACATGGCAAAAAATTGTCTCTGCAAAAAAAATACAAAAATCAGCCAGGTGTGGTGGTGTATGCCTGTAGTCCCAGCTACTTGAGAGGCTGAGGTGGGAGGATCACTTGAGTCCAGGAGGTCAAGGCTGCAGTGAGTCAAGATTGTGCCACTGCACTCCAGCCTAGGTAACAGAGTAAGATCCTGTCTCAAAAAAATAAAATAAAATAACAATAAATACCAAAACTCAGAATTATGCATATAAGATCTGATTTTTTTAATCAAACAGTACTTTTAATATTTTCAATTGTGCCCAGAAGTAACTATGGCATATAAGTTTTTGCAACATAAATGAAACAACAGAGCCTCAACCCACTTAGTAAGAAAAACAATAAATCATCAAGCTTATTTTTTTTTTTTTTTTTTTTTTTTACCTTTTATTCTTCTGGGAATCACAGTTACCCAATCAGGTCCACTGGAGTTGATTGGCATTTTGATATTGACACCACTTTAAGAGGAATAAAAAAGCACAAGCTCAGGTTCAGGAACATTTATTTTCAGATATATGTCTTTACTTGCAAATGATAAAATGACTAATTTCACAGAGCCTTATGATGATGAAACATACTTATGAATGTTAACCAACACAAATAATAAACTGGGTTTCTTATAATAAGCAGGTCATATGTATATAAAAACTGAAAAAAATTAAATTGATTCTTAAAATTTCACTCCACTGTATACTGCTAAGAGCGCAAACTCCAAAATGACCAATTCTGGTTTGAATGATGTACTCCCCTCGGACTCAGAGAATGGCTCACACTGACAAGAATGTCTACTTTGTCATTATCTAGTTTTCAGGCTGCAAGTTCATGCTGCATTAAGTCATGTATCTGACTCCTTAGGCCTTTTCCAGATCTCAGAGGAGTCCTACGTGGGACACTTGCCCCCAGATATTTACTTATGCAGTACTTTTTGCTCATCATCACCAGGACTCTCTAGTGTCTGTTCCCCTTACTAAAACATGTACTACTCGAGGGAGGCAGCAGGGGAAAAAAGTAAAATAAAATAAAACATATACTACTCGAAGACAAGGGTGATGCCTCATTCATCTTTGTATCCTAGCACAGGCCCTGGTCTAGAGTCCACACTCAGTAAATATTTTTGGAGGGCTGCATTAAAACGTGGGGGAGGGAAAGCACTGAAAATTCAGGGCAACTATTCCAAAAACTGAGTCACAATAAAACTAGGCCTCATGTACTTAGACCAAAACCAAAAAAATAAAATGTTAATTCCCCAAACTCTTGATATGGGAATGTGCAGTCATTTTTTATTATTTCATCAATTTCAGAAAAAACTGTTTATTCAACAAATAATTCTTAAGCTTCTGAAGCCAGGTACTGTCCTAGAATCCAGGGCTACTACAGTAAGCAAAACACACATCTCCTTCTTCATGGAGCTGCCACACAGGAGACAGACAAAAAACAAGTAATGAAGGAAGCATGCAGGCCTGGCCACATTAGAGCATATAATTTCATAGCTTAAATAAAGTGATTTTTAAGACAGCACATATAAACTACTTTCATGAGTTTAGAGTTTTATGGTAAGAAAAAAATATACAATTTACTTGTCTATAGTTATAAGAATTATATAATCATTACTGTACAATAATTTTCTTGCAAAAACATAATTTCCTTTATAATTTTCCTGCCAAAATATTTAGCCTCAATCTAATCACATGGAAAGTGAAAACAATAAAGCAAATCCAAAGTAGACTGGGCGTGGTGGCTCATGCCTGTAATCCCAGCACTTTGGGAGGCCGAGACGGGCAGATCTCCTTAAGGCCAGGAGTTTGAGACCAGCCCGGCCAACACAGCAAAACTCCATCTCTACTAAAAATACAAAAATTAGCCAGGTATGGTGGTGCACGCCTAGTAGTCCCAGCTACTCCGGAGGGTGAGGCACAAGAATCACTTGATCCCAGGAAGTAAAGTGAGCCGAAGGTTACAGTGAGCTGAGATCACTGCATTGCACCCCAGCCTGGGTGACAGAGCGACACTCTGTCTCGAGAAGAAAAAAAAAAAAAAGTAAAGGACATTCTACAAAACAGCAACATCAAAATTGCCAATGTCATACAAAACAAAATAGTCTAAAGAATTCTTTTGGATTAAAGAGATAACCAAACATACTGTGTAAGCATAGATTAAATTAGTTAAAATTTAAAAGATAGCTATAGAAGTCATTATTGGGACAACTGAAGAAACTTGAATATCTAATATGAACTGCATATTAAATAATAGTACTATAACAATGATAAATGTCCCAAATGTGATCATTATGGTTACATGTTAGAGAAAGTCTATTTTCTTAGAAGAGGCATGTTTATGGAGTGCAGAGCCATGATGTCTGCACCATACTCTCAGATGGTTCAGGGGAAAAAATTATACACAGATACATATAAACACAGAGAAAGAAAAGCAAAATGTGGCAAAACATTAATAATAGTGAATCTAAGTTAAAGGTATATGAGTTCATTGTTATTATTCCTGCAATGTTTCTAAAGATTCAATATTTTTAATACAAAGTTAGAAAAAAGCAGCAATCATGCTAAAATAAAAGGGAAATGTTGTAGGTGATAAGCCCATTCTTTCAAAAGGCCTTCCCTTATATTAATAGGATCTTTAAGGAAACCCCTGTTGTCCTTTCCAAAACTAACACTTTTACTCCCTTATAGATAAAGAACAAAGATGACATTCCTCTAATTGTTCAACTGTCATTTAGGGAACCAAATACCAAGGCTAAGATTCTTAATTCTTTTTGGTTTAAGTAAGGTTATGAGTTACCAAGGAAGAGAAGTAAAAAAGGTTATCAGTTCAACATATTTGGGCCATGAGCTCAAAACAGTACACCCAAAGATCCCCCAAAAAATCAATTTAAATCTTTTTCTTTTTCTTTTCAGATGGTCTTATGCAATATTTTAGAACCTAAAGAGAATAAAGGATGGAAAATGAAAACCAATTATAAGGACTCTGTCAAATGTTTGCTTTCCAAAAACTTACACCACCTCAAACATTGTTTTCTCAGCAAACGTCCAGGTAAATAGAATTCTGCAATTATTCTACAACACTGTACCATCAACCAGCCTCACCCAGGACATGCAAGTAAGGGCAGGGACAAACACATTATTTTATCCTTGTGGGTTCACGGGTGTTTTTTGTTTTAATGGTAGAATTTACAGTCAGAAATACTTTTAAGTTTTACACTAAGTTAGCTCTCTAAACTTTCTCTATTTTCCACATGGAATTTGAGTCAATTACTATGCTTCTTCCTCTTTGCTAGACCACTAAGTAGACTGACAACATAACTCTATAGGGCAATTATAGTTACCAATCATTTACTATAGATTTCAAAACAATTATGACAGTGGAATTGGAATGTTCCCAACACAAAGATGATAAATGCTTCAGGCAATGGATACTCCAATTACCCTGATTTGATCATTACCTTTTATATGCTTGTATCAAAATATCATATCTACCTCAAAAATATGTAAAACTAGTATGTATCCATACTAATTTAAAAATCTAAAAACACAACTCTAACGGAGCATGGGGGCTCACATCTGTAATTCCAGCCCTTTGGGAGGCCAAGGCAGAAGGACTACTTGAGCCCAGGGGTTCAAGACCAGCCTGGGCAACATAGTGAAACCACATTTCTACAAAACATACAAAAATTAGCTGGGTGTGGTGGCACACACCTGTAGTCTGACACGGGAGGTGGCGCACACTCGGGAGGCTGAGGTGGGAGAATCGCTCAAACCCGGGATGTCAAGGCTGCAGTGAGCTACAATCATGCCACCGCACTCCAGCCTGGGTGACAAAGTGAGACTCTGTTGCAAAACAAACCAACCAACCCTCTAAAATAGGGTAACTGAGTAGTCTTCATACATAGGCAAAAAAGTACACAGAAATAAAATAATCTGCTCAGTCACTAATAAACAGCATGTCTGAAACCTGAACTCAGGAATAAAATGAAAAAATTTGTTTTGGTTTTGTTTGGAGGAGTTGTGAAATTTAATTTTGTTTTCATTTTGTACTGAACCATAGAAAATACTATTCTTAGCAGTACAGTAAACACTGTACATTGAGTAGTGCTCCCTCTGCTGGCCTTCCAAAGGTATGGCATGAATCCACTACACATGTACATAACCCGGTATGTTTTTTGTTTTTTTTTTTTTTTTTTTTTGAGACAGAGTCTTGCTCTGTCGCCCAGGCTGGAGTGCAGTGGCCGGATCTCGGCTCACTGCAAGCTCCGCCTCCCGGGTTTAGGCCATTCTCCTGCCTCAGCCTCCCGAGCAGCTGGGACTACAGGCGCCCGCCACCTCGCCCAGCTAGTTTTTTGTATTTTTTTAGTAGAGACGGGGTTTCACCGTGTTAGCCAGGATGGTCTCAATCTCCTGACCTCGTGATCCGCCCGTCTCGGCCTCCCAAAGTGCTGGGATTACAGGCTTGAGCCACCGCGCCCGGCCCATAACCCGGTATGACCAAAAGCTGACTTCAGGGTGGAAAACTGAAGGGTTTTATTTTAGGAACTCCTACAAACCACATACTTTATGGTAGCAACTTTTCTCCCATCCGGTAATGAGTGGACATAAACCATGAAATTTTTTAGGGTGCCCAGATGTACTTAACAAAAATACCTCCCTTTTATCCAAGAAAAAATTCTCTCTACCAAGGACTGTTTAAAAACAATATACTCCATTAAAAAGTAAAAAACATGTATACATTCTTTCAAACAATTGTACTTTTTTGTTGAGGCAAGGTCTCACTCTGTTGCCCAGGCTGTAGTGCAACTGTGATCACAGCTCACTGCAACCTCAAACTCCTGGGCTCCAGCCTTCCTCCCACCTCAGCCTCCCAAAATGCTGGGACTACAGTCATGAGCCACCACACTTGGCCAAAATGGTACTTTTTAACCATGTAGCTTTTATAATTTTTTATGTCTTAGTAATGTTATGAAATGTTGAAGAAAACACAAATTGTAATTCATATTGGTTCCATATTCCTTTCTGCACATTATTCTATGTATTTATCATCATGCTGAAAATATTTTATGCTTATATTTGAAATAGAAATTTGAACACAATACTGCAACAATTTCAACAACTATATAGCTTAAAAAATATAGTTTTCTGTGGCATTCCTGACTTCCTATGCTTATTAAGTAAACCCAGCAATGTTGCCATATTCATAGTTTTTTAATCAGTATGTTCAAATGATTTTAAAAACCGTTATTATGTTACTTTTTAAAGTTTCAGTTCATTAGATACAAAGACAAAACACCAGCCTGACTACTAGGCCTACCAGCCTGTTCTTGGATTATATATTTTCTTCACATAAAATAGATGGGGTCTTGCTATGTTGCCCAGGCTGGTCTCAAACTCCTGGGCTCAAGCGATCCTCCCATTTCATCCTCCCAAAGTGCTGGGATTACAAGCATGAGCCACCACCACACCTGGCCCTTGGATAACTTTTATCTGTTCTGTGAATAAGGGATTTTACTTACACAGCTACTGTGCAAACCCGCTATGTGGTTCTAAAGTAAAACAGATATGAGGGTAAAGAAAAAAATTCAAGGGTAAAAGGTCTTTAATTTGGACTTAGATAAGCACTAAGCTTCACTTGTAAAACACTAACGAAAAATACAAATCTATGTTTATTTTTTTATTCCCTACCTCTTCTGAATTGGGCCACGATGAGAGAGAGATAAGAAACACATACCCAATACCAGAAAGTCTCCTAAATGGGACAAGGACAGTGGAAAAGAACTCTTCAAATTATCCCCAAGAAAAAACAGCACGTACCTCTGGAAGAAAGCACTCTCTGCAGCAGTTAGGAGACCCTTCAGGTATCCACCTTTGAAATGGGTAATTCTGCTGCTGCAAGGGAGCTTCTTTGGTTTGAAGCAGAACCAGGGCTCCCCAGTGTAGAGGTCTGTAAAGTTACACAGGGGCAGATTCCCAGGAAGACACACGTTGCACTCAGTAGTTTCAGAAATTCTTCCCGAACGGAAGAGACTCTTGAAATAGACCCTGTCTGGTTTATCTTCCTGTAAGCGCTGAAGAACTCTGATCCCTTCACTGGGGTGGACCAGAAATATGGACACTTTAACTTTGCCCGGCCATAACAAAGTAAAGAAAACCTTGTAAAACCCATTCTGGTAGTCCACCACCCTGCCCACAGCCCCAGCCTGCAGCTTGGGGGAGTGAATTCTGGCCTGCAGGTAGTCTCCACCATACTTCTTGGGCTTTCTTTGAAAATCCTGTACATGAACCAGCACCTCCAGCTGGCTTCCCACCTGAAAGAAGGCAGCAGAGTTCAAGATGACAAAGTAGCTGGAAGAAGGGTCAGTGCTTTTCACAAAGGGAACTGGGGCCACATCAGGAACCTGTCGGTGCAAGGCAGCCAGCAAGGAGTCCTCCTCCATGCGCTCCTGGCTGGACAGGATCTGCTGATCATAGCCGCAGTAAGGATTTCGGCTAATTCCTGTCACCTGGGAGGAAATAAACTGTCCACTGCTGTCGATGAATGTGGCTGAAACAGTCTCATGGTCCAAGTACTAAAGAAGAAGACACAAACAACAGAAATTACCACTATAATAGGTCTCTGTATTTTCGGCATAAATTCAGAGGGCTCCCCACACTTCTGTGAGTTTTAGCTCCAGGAGCTCACACAGTGAGTTTGAGCTCCCGGATTCTCACAGTGAATATCAAAGAAAAAATTCTCTTGGGCTTCCAGGAAGGGAAAGGGAAAAGGACTCATTCTGAAGTATGTAGAGCACTGTGTTGTTCTGAGCAAAGCTGCCCCTCAAGAGAAACTACTTTATCAGAACCTAGCCTATTGGAGTTTTATCAGAGCCTAACCAACCTGAGACAAGGGAAACACCCAACTCCAGCCCACTTTAGCCACCCAGTCCAACCTAAGATGGTGAAACACCAAGAAAAAAGTAAAGGAAAGGAATGGAGAAAGATATACCATGCTAACACTAACCCAAAGAAACCAGTAGCAGCTATATTAATTTCAGAGCAGATTTCAAAGCAAGGAAAGTTATCAAAGATAAAGGGGGTCATTACATAATAATAAAAGAGTCAATTCTCCGAAAAAAATAAATAAATAACAACCCCTTAACATGTAAGTACCTAACCAATGAGTATCAAAACATGTGAAGCAAAAACTAATGGAGAAATAGATGAATCTACATTATAGTCTAAGACTTCAACACTCCTCTATCAGAAATACAGAGATCCAGTAGGCAGAAAATCGGTAAGGACATAGTTGAATTCAACAGCACCATCAATAAACTGGATATAGTTGACATCTGTAAACTACTTCACATCAAGCTCACATGGAACATTCACCAAAACGGACCACATTCTGGGCCATAAAATGCACCTTAAAAATTTTTTAAAAATAACAATCATACAATGTCTTCTCTTAAGCCATAATGAAATTAAACTAGAAATCAATAGAGAAAGATAGCTGGAAAAATCCCAAAATGGTATACAAATGAGTAACATACAAAATCTCATGAGAAATTTTTAAATATTTTAACTAGGTGAAGGTGAAAATATAATTTATTAAACACTATAGGATGAAGCAAGAGAAGTGCTTAGAGGGAAATTCATAGTACTATACATATTTTAGGAAAGAAAAATGACCTAAAATGAATAATTTAACCTTACATCTTAGCAAACTAGAAAAAGAAGAGCAAACAATATCCAAAATAAGCAGAATAAAAATAATAAGTATGATAGTAGAAATCAGTGAAGTTGAAAACAGGAAATTAATAAAGAAAAATCAATGAAACCCAAAGCTGGTTTTTTAAAAGATCGATAAAATTGATAAGCCTCTACCTAGGCTAAGAAAAAAAGAGGGAGGACACAAATTATTAATATCAGAAATGAAAAGGAGGCCATCACTACAGATCCCATGGACATTAAAGGAATAAAGGACTATTATGAACAATTCTGTGACCATAAATTGGATAACCCAGATGAAATGGACCAATTCCTTGAAGGACACAGTCCATAAAGAATCCACCTAATGATGCAAAAGTAATATTATAACTAGTGGAAATCAAATATAAAAGAATGAAGTAGGCCGGGTGCGGTGGCTCACATCTGTAATGCCAGCACTTTGGGAGGCTAAGGCAGGTGGATCACGAGTTCAGGAGCTCAAGACCAGCCTGGCCAACATGCTGAAACCCCACGTCTCTACTAAAAACAGAAAAATTAGCCGAGCATGATGGCGGGTGCCTGTAATCCCAGCTACTCAGAAGGCTGAGGCAGAGAACTGTTTGAACCTGGGAGGCGGAGGTTGCAGTGAACCAACATTGCACCACTGCACTCCAGGTTGGGTGATAGAGTGAGACTCCATCTCAAAAAAATAATAATAAATAAGTAACAATGAGTAGTGCTTTCTTCATCACTTAGAGTAGAAAGTTAAGATATATTATCTTAGGCTGTTGGGGAAATAAAAGGTCTAAATATATTATTTAATGTTATATATAGAAATAAAATTAATTTTACAAATTGTGGAAGGAGAATGAAGTAAGCAGAGGCCTTATCTTTCATTAACAGTAGTAGGTCGGGTGCAGTGGCTCATGCCTGTAATTCCAACACTTTGGGAGGCTGAGGCAGAAGAACTGCTTAAGGCCAGGAGTTCAAGACCAGCCCGGGCAACATAGCAAGACCCGATCTCTACAATAAATTTTTTTTAAAAGTTAGCCAAGCGTGGTGGCACATGCCTGTAGTCCTAAGCTACGTGAAAGGCTGAGCTGGGAGGATCACCGAAACCAGGAGCTCCAGGTAGTAGTGAGCTATAATCACACCACAGAACTCCAGTCTGAGCAACAGAGCAAGACCTTGTCTCTAACAAATACATAAATAAATATAAACTAAAACTAGGCTGGGCACAGTGGCTCACACCTGTAATCCCAGCACTTTGGGGCAGAGGTGGGCAGACCGGGATCGCTCGAGCTCAAGAGTTCGAGACTAGCCTGGGCAACATGGTGAAACCCCGTCTCTACTAAAAATAAAAAAATTAAGCTGGGTGTGGTGGTGCACATCTGTAATTTTAGCTATTCACGAGGCTGAAGCACAAGAATTGCTTGAACGCAGGAGGCAGAGGTTGCAGTGTGCTGAGATCGTGCCACTGCGCTCCAGCCTGGACAACAGAACAAGACCCTGTCTCAAAAACTTATATATGTGCATATATAAGTGTGTATATGTGTGTGTGTACATATATGTGTGTATACATATATGAGGATTGCTTGAGCCCAGGAGTTAGAGGTTACAGAGAACAATGACTGTGCCACTGCACTCTAGCCTGGACAACAGAGTGAGACCCTGTGCTTAAAAAAAAGAAAAAGAAAAAAAAAAACCAGCAGTAGCAGAAACACCCAGCATTTATTGTAAGCATTTATGTGCTGGATACTCTTATAAACAGTTTACATGAATCTTTAAATTCAATGTTCAAATTATCACATGTGGTAAGTCCTATTATTATGTCCATTTTATAGAAGAGGAAACTGAGGCAAAGAATAGCTTAATAATTTGCTCAAGGCCATGTAGGTCAGAAGCAGCAGAGGATTAGAAGCCAAGTTATCTGAATTGACACCTGTGTTCTTTTTTTTTCTTTTTTTTTCTTTTTTCTTTTTTTTTGAGATGGAGTCTGGCTCTGCCGCCCAGGCTGGAGTGCAGTGGCCAGATCTCAGCTCACTGCAAGCTCCGCCTCCCGGGTTTACACCATTCTCCTGCCTCAGCCTCCCGAATAGCCGGGACTACAGGCGCCCGCCACCGTGCCCGGCTAGTTTTTTGTATTTTTTAGTAGAGACGGGGTTTCACCATGTTAGCCAGGATGGTCTCGATCTCCTGACCTCTGATCCACCCGTCTCGGCCTCCCAAAGTGCTGGAATTACAGACGTGAGCCACCGCACCCGGCCGACACCTGTGTTCTTAACCACCATGCTACACTGCCTCATATGAGCAAGTCAGGAGATAACTCGTAA